ATCTACAAAATGAGACTCCCATTTAAGCTACTTCGTACCTCTTACCGTTTCCGAGATCCCTGTAGTGAGAAGCGAATTTGTAACAACCTGTATGTCCATAGGAACATATTTTATTAATTTTAACATAGAACCCACTATTAAAGTTTGCCAGAGCATATCATTCACATCCTGTATAATAATATTGCGTCTTTGTAGTAAATGGCTGGCAATGCGTACATATTAAAAAGTTCCAAATTCAACTAAATATATTATTGTGGTAGATAGAATATATTTTATAGTAGCAGATAATCCTTCAAACGATTTATTTACAAAACATTACTTTCAAGACTCCGTTAAGAAACTATTAAAAGCGCTCAATAATTTCATTTTTTAAGAAATAATGCAATAACAGCCATTTACTAAAACGATAAAGAATTACCGCATCAAAACACTGGAGGAAGGTTTCCATCAATATCCTTCACTCATGTGGAACGACGGTATTTTGCAACCCACATTTTGTTGATTTTACGACCCGGCACGTTTCCACACAAACAAGAGTGGTCTGAATGGAACCTGTTTATATATAATTAACCAAATAAATGAAAATTTTCGCCAGAGCTTACGGATATTGTGGATAGGGATCAATATAAATAACAGATTACAAAGTTCGCGTGACTAATTTTAATCACGTCCACAATTAAGTAATAAGTTTGACACAACCAATAAATTGAGCATCCAATTTATTTTATGGTAATTTCAACTATACGGGGAAATTTATAAAATAATATGTGTCCATATGCAATTTTCACGTATTGATTAATAATTGCAGAAAGAAATGCTCGTAGAAAAATACAGCAATTAAAATAAGTTACTTATTACATAAACGTACCTAATGTACGTTGTGAAAATTCTACTAAACCGTTCAATATTAAAACATATAGGTACATCAAATAAAGTTACGTTCCCAATGAGGTCATAACCCCGTCATTTCGAAACGAAGTTATTAATAGTAGAAATTTGCACAGGTCAGGTAACCACAAAAGATCACTTGCAGATTTTGTTGCGATTATTGCAGTAGCGGAAATGTAATTTTTGTCGAAGGATTTTTCTTTGATAAGTAAGTCTTGATACATATTTAGTTGTCTTATTTTTTCTTTGTTTTTTATTACTTATTTAGTGCATCGAACAGAGACTTTCTTGTCATCTCAGGTATGTAAAAAAATAAATAATGATTTCAGGACAAATGCCCTCTCAGGACTTCATTATGATACTTATGCGTATATCATCAAAGACACATTTATTGACCATCATTTCCCTGGTTCTGTATTAAATGATAATACATACTCATTAATTCCAGGCATAGATTGGAAGAGAGACTCTAGAATTAAAATAACACAGCCCCACAAAAAAAAGTATCGGATCTGGTATCATGTATTTCCATGTAAGGTAGGTGAATACAATATGCCCATGTTTGCAATATGCGCACGGGCGGTAGTTTGATGGTTTTATGAAAGATCGCAGCACACACCATAACCGTAGTTTATTCCTGATAACTTACTGTAAGATTTCAGTCGGTGATATCGCCAGTAGCAAGCGCCATTCGACTAGTGTTGCGAAAAATCGTGTTTGTGAGACGCTTTTATAATATCTACGGCTTCATTTTTATATTATAAAGTTGTGAAAGAAACTTTCAATGACCTGCAATATCTTGTGTTTAATACATAGATACTAAAGCTTAGATTGTAGTGAAAAGTAATCGATTTAAGGTAAGACCATAGACAAAAACACAACATAACCTAATTTTACTTCATGTGTAGCAATATGCCCACCACGAAGGGTCGACATTATGCACATGGGCATATTGCTAGCTCTTTGCATATAATTTATTTATAGTGTAAATTGTTACAGGTATGACTGGTAAGGCGATAAATCGGGGCCTTCGGAATAAGTGGACCAGAGAAGACTTACAAAATGCAGTCGCAGCTGTACGGGAAGGTCGAATGTCACGTCAAGGAGCTTCAAAAACATTTTCAATACCTAGAAGAACTCTGAGCAGACATGTGGACAATAACGAAACTAGAAAGTCCGCAATGGGGCGAAAACCAGTACTTACTGCTGATCAAGAAAGAGAACTGTCTTCAAGAATAATTCGACTGGCAGAGGTTGGTTACCCGCTTACATCAAAGACACTTCGAAGGTGTGTGTACAATTTCTGTACCGAAAGTGGTATACCAAATAAATTTTCTACCATGTCTAAAATGGCTGGCAGGTATTGGCTTAACGGATTTTTAAGGCGAAAACCTATAATAAGACAAAGAAAAGCACAAGGTATGAACCCAGCTCGTGCCCAACAACTGAATAGATTGGAACTGGTAAATGACCATTTCACAAAATTGAAAGAAATACTTTTAGAAATGGATTTCATAGATTGCCCAGAGAGAATTTTTAACGTTGATGAAAAAGGTTGCAAGCTAAGGTTACACCATCAGCAAAGTGTTCTAGCAAAAAAAGGGGCGAAACGTGTACACCTGGTAGCACCAGAGCATGGGGAAGACGTTATAGTTGTCTGCTGTGGCAATGCCTCTGGTATTTTCATTCCACCGGCAATTTTGTTTAAAGGGAAAAGACTGAAACCAGAATGGAAGGACACATTACCACCAGGATCACTGGTCCTTATGACGCCTAAAGGTAGCATGAACATTACCACATTTTGCAGCTGGATCGAGCATTTAGCTAAATATGAGCCCGCAGGAAAATGTCTTTTGATTTTTGATGGTGCCAAATGCCATCTGGACCATACGATCATCGATGTAGCCGAAAGACATGATATTGTGCTCTATTGCTTACCATGCAACACGACGCATGAATTGCAGCCGATGGATAAATCCGTATTTCGTTCTTTTGAATACCATTGGGACGATCAGGTGCTCCAGTATTGGTCAAGACACAAAGATCGTAATATCACAAAGATGCGATTCGGTGAAATTTTTAGTGTTGTGTGGGATAAAAGCGTACCACCGGCAAATATAAAAGCAGGCTTCGCCGCAACCGGTATTTTTCCCTTTAATCCCGAGGCAATATCGGAACTGGCATATGCTCCTAGTGA